CTGCTCTTGTTGTTTTTCCACACTAGCAGAAACTGGCATCAACTTCTCAAATTCCTCCATGACTGCCTGTACTTGACCCAAGTAAGTAGACATATCCAATTCCTGCTTCTTTAAGTTTGTCATCCGTGATATCACATCATAGAAGCGAGATATGTCATTAGTGTATAAGGTGCGTGCCTTTGCCCAAACCAAATAACATGTCTGGAATGGACGAAACAAGGGCATCAACTTGGAATCAATAGATCGCCACAAGATGCTACATAACTGAGCATCGATTTTTGCCCAAAGTGCTATTGCCTTTTCATCTCCATCGCTAGACTGTTTGATTAGATGATCTTGAACACCTTGACCTCTACACCATAACTCGACAGATGAAGCCCAAGCTAAGTAGTTTGAACCTCCCATTAAAGGTTCCGAGGTAATAATAGCACTAGAGCTTCCAGAACTCATGTTTCTAGACCCAAAAGCATCAAATCCCAAAGACATTGTTGCAAATTATTACCAAATAGGAGAAAGAATCAACTGTAATCCACTGAAACAGTGTACGGAAACACAGAAACAGAATACTGAAATACTGTAGCTGCCGGAATCTACTGTAGCTGTCGGAATAGTACTGTAGCTACCGGAAAAAACTCAAAGTTGTCGGAATGAAATGAAAACAGTAGGGGTAGGATCGGAATTACCAGGCGACCCAACTGTTCTGAAGGAAGATTTTCAAAAAATGGCCGGAAGTGGTCGTACGCGCCGGCGCGTGAGCTCACGCGCGTGAGCTTCTGGAGGCGCGTGAGGCTGCTTCTGCCGGAGTTGTTCACTGGGGTTTGGTCGCCGGACAGTGACGACTCTTGTGGTAGTGTTGGATTTTGCACAACACTGACTGAGATAAAACAGACGCAAACAGCCTTAAAAAGTCGCCGGAAAAAGACTTCCGGTGACTAATTTCTCTTCCCGGAATCGCTGGAATTTATGCACAGCGATAAATCTCTCACAATTGCTCTGATACCATGTGAGAAGGCACGGGAGAAAATATGTTATTGATATATATTGAATGAATGAATAATACAACACGAGCCTTATTTATAGCTATACTATACAAGGACATACTACTCCTCTACCAATGTGGGACACTATGTACATGCTGTAACTTAACAATACCAAAGAATGCGAACAACTGCATCCCCGTGACTATCACATGGAGAATCCATATACTGACTTACAACACTCACCGGAAAAGAAATGCCAGGTCTAGTCACTGTGAAGTAATTCAATTTGCCAACCAACCTCTTATATCTCGTAGGGTCTCTAAGAGGCTACCCCTGTCCAAGTAGAAGCTTAGCATTCGGATCCATATGAGTCAATAGGTCTGCAATTCATCATTTCAGTCTTCTCAAGAATGTTTAAGGCATACTTCCGCTGTGAAATAACAATACCTTAGCTAGACCGAGCGACCTCAATACCTAGAAAATACTTCAATCTGCCCAGATCCTTAGTCTGGAAGTGCTGAAAGGAAGTGCCGAAAGAGATGCTGCTTCAGATTAGTAATACCATCCTGATCATTGCCAGTAATAACAATATCAACAACATAAACCACTAGATAAATACACAGATTATGAGCAGAATGCCGATAAAACACAGAGTGATCTGTCTCACTACGAGTCATGTCGAACTCCTGAATAATTGTGCTGAACTTACCAAACCAAGCTGTTTCAAACCATATAGTGACCTGCGCAATCTGCACACACAACCATTAAAATCCTCTTAGCAACAAAATCAAGTGGTTGCTCCATATAAACTTCTTCATCAAGTTCACCGTGGAGAAAAGCATTCTTAATGTCTAACTGATAAAGAGGCCAATGACGTACAACAGCCATGGACAAAAAGAGACGAACAGATGCTACTTTAGCCACGGGAGAGAAAGTATCACTATAATCAAGCCCAAAAATCTGAGTATATCCTTTTGCAACAAGACGAGCCTTAAGCCGATCAACCTGGCCATCCGGGCCGACTTTGACTGCATAAACCCAACGACAACCAACAGTAGACTTACCTGCAGGAAGAGGAACAAGCTCCCAAGTGTCACTCGCATATAAAGCAGACATCTCGTTAATCATAGCATGTCGCCATCCTGGATGAGATAGTGCCTCACCTGTAGACTTAGGGATAGAAACAGTGGACAAAGAAGATATAAAAGCATAATGAGGGGACGGCAGACGATGATAACTTAAGACGACATAGTTGGGATTAGGATTAAGTGTGGATCATACACATTTGTGGAGTGCAATTGGTTGACTAAGAGGAGACAAGTCCGCAGTAGCTGCAGAATCTGATGCAGGGCGTGAATCACCTGGGCCTGATGCTGGATGTGAACGATGATGATAAGTCGAGTGGTGGAGCTGCAGAAGGTTGAACTGGATTATGTGGAGGAACTGGAGCTATAGGTGGTGGAGTTACAACTGGAGCTGTAGGTGGTGGAGCTACAACTGGAGCTGTAGAGGAAGATGAATGGGAGATAGTGACTGGATCTCCAAAAGATGAAACTGGTAGTACCTCAGAAATATCTAAGTAATGACCTGAACCTGTGAAGTATGATTGGGTTTCAAAGAAGGTAACATCAGCGGACATAAGATACCGTTGGAGGTCAGGAGAGTAGCATCGATACCCCTTTTGTGTTCTCGAGTAACCCAGAAATACGCACGTAAGAGCACGTAGAGCTAACTTATCTGTTCTTGGAGTAAGGTTATGGACAAAACAAATGCTTCCAAAGATACGAGGTGGAAGAGAGAACAAAGATAAATGGGAAAACATGACAAAGAATGGAACTTGGTTCTGGATAGTTGAAGATGGCATACGATTAATAAGATAGCAAGATGTAAGAACTACATCCCCAAAAATGCAACGGAGCATGAGATTGTATGAGTAGGGTACGAGCAGTTTCAATAAGATGTCTATTATTTCTTTCAGCTACCTCATTTTGTTGAGATGTGTACGGACAAGATGTTTGATGAGTAATCCCATGAGATTTCATAAACTGCTGAAATGGGGAAGACAAATACTCTCGGGCATTATCACTACGGAATGTGCGAATAGAAACCCCAAATTGATTTTGAATTTCAGCATGGAAGGTCTGGAAAATAGAAAACAGTTCAAATCGATTTTTTTATCAAAAATATCCAAGTGTACCTGGAATAATCATCAATGAAACTGACAAAGTAGCGAAATCCCAAGGTGGAACTGACCCGACTAGGACCCCAAACATCTGAATAGACTAAAATAAAAAGGTGACTCTGCTCGATTATAAGACGCCGAGGGAAATGGGAGCGAGTATGCTTACCGAGCTGACATGACTCACACTCTAGAGCTGACAAGTGAGATAAACCAGATACCATTTTCTGAAGTTTTGACAAATTGGGATGTCCTAATTGTTTATGTAATAAATCTGGTGAATAGTAACTGGACAAGTTGTTGAAGGAAGAGAAGATGTGAGTGCATGTGATTTAGCAAGGATAAGGTAGTAAAGTCCGTTTGATTCACGCCCGGTACCAATGATCCGCCCCGTACTGCGTTCCTGTATAAAAACATGGTCATCAAGAAATAAAACAACGCATTTAAGTGATTTGGTTAAGCGACTAATAACTATGAGTTTAAAAGGACTATTGGGAACATAAAGGACTGAATCTAAAGGTAAGGAAGGAAGTGGGCTTGCTTGACCTATTGCAGTTACCATGGTTTGAGACCCATTGGCCATTGTGACTCTTGGAAGAGATTGAGAATACGAAACAGTAGTGAAAAGAGATTTGTTACCAGAAATATGATCTGATGCACCTGAATCAATGACCCAAAACTCAGAGGATGAAGATTGGGAGAAACAAGTCACGCTATTACCTGTTTGAACAACAAAAGTTATCTCAGAAGATGTCTGCTTACATGCTTTGTACTGAAGTAACTCAATATAATCTGCCAAAGAAACCATCCGACTATTCAAAGTATCGGTTCCCATGTCGCTACAATTTGTAGTAGTAGGGTTAACTTGAAATAGTGGAAATAAGTAACTCCTGTGGGAATACCGAAGAAATAGCTGGGAAAACACTGTTTACAGCAGAAAACAGAAGACTATTTTTGCGTCAGAAACACTGTTCACACTGGAAAACACTGTAGCTCGCCGAAAATTGGAAAGTTGTCGAAATTTGTTGTAACCAGGATGGATAGATTCGGAATTCCCTTGCGAGCAAGCTGTCCTGAAGAAATGTTTCCAAACAAAAAATGGCCGGAAAGGTCACTGTTCACGCCGGAAAAATATAAAAGTGGTCGTAATTTGATTTGAATTAGATGGGTAGGCTCGAAATTGTGAGGAGAGCAGACTGTCTGTCCTGAAGAAGGTTCGCGAAAAAATGGCCGGAACCCTCGCCAGAAAAGTTGTTGTTGCCGGCATGTGGAGGCGCGTGGCAGCTTTTCTGCCAGATAAATTTTCAGGGGTTGGTTGTCGGAGGGTGATCTACCTCGTGTTGGTGTTGGTTTTAGCACAACACCGACAGAAAGTGACTTTCACGTAGACAGGCCTTAAGGTCACGGGAAAAATTGCACGATGACTAAGTTCTTTCTTCCCGATTAACGCTGGAATGACGCACAACGATCTTTTCTCACTAATGCTCTGATTCCATGTGAGAAAGTACGGGAGAAAATATATTATTGATATTAGGTACTCAATATAATACAAGAGGTCCTATTTATACTTATAGTCTACAAAGTACATATCACTCCCATTCTAATGTGGGACTACACACAACTAACATAACATAAGAAAGAAATTTCCACACAAAGTTTTCCCAAACTTCCTTGTTCTTTTTCAAACACTAACTAGAATTTATTGGGGTATGTTAGTGTGATAAACTCAGTATCATGTTTGATTTCTGGACTCTTAACTTTTTCAGTGGGTCAGTTTACTTTTTTTGTCGGTGATTCTATATGACTCATATCTGTGTGCCTCAATGACTATATAATCATTGACCTTTTCCAACTTCAATGCACCAGGGTGCTCGCGTGGGACTTTATTTCATAAATAGGCCTGAGTGGCTGATTGTAGACTATGCCTGCTCAGCGTATTCATATACTTCAGTCCCACTATATGACACTCTAGGTATGTAGGTGTCCTTTCATTAAAGTTTTCTTTGGCTGGTAAGATATATTAAACTTGTTATATTGTTGTCTGTAGGTCCTGATGCTGTTAAATATATTGTCAATCATGCTGATGTACAGGCCATTTTTTGTGTGCCTGGTACCTTGAACACGGTGAGCGAAACTCCTCCCCCTAAGCCGAGTATACTCCTTTAACATAGTTCTGAGAAATGTCAGTATGAGGCGTTAATGTTAACATTATTTTGATCAACTTGAGTTCTTAGACACTTCAGCAGCATGAATAGAACTGTGGAGGACTCTGTTACGTTACCCATAGTCTACTAATGTTAGTTTGAGAAAAAAACTCCATAATACATTCTCAGTGGCCTGTGCTAATTTTTAACTAAATGAAATGTTTAACAATCAAAGAAGCCCCCATTTATTATTGAGTGCTAAGCTTTAACAGTCGATGAAACTCCTCGAGTAGGGTTAATGACCTTTTAGGACAGTGATACTGATAGATGACTCAGTTTAACACTTCATTCTAGTCCTTAGTTCTAGTTCATTTATGTTATTTAGCTACCTTGACTTCTTCATCCTGTCTGATGATATTGTTATGTTTCTCCATTCCTCTGAATGCTGTTTCAAAAACAAAATGCTAGTTCCGTCCTTTTCAAAAGAGAGAGATAGAGAGAGAGAATAAAGAAAATCCTTGTTCCTTGTTGTTAAAGTTTCACATCCTTTTACCTGTGCTCTTCTCCCAATCTTAGCTAGGTTTCATCTATAAAGAGATCCTTATAAACTATTTGAGAAGGCTAGTTTAATGCTGGTACTTTATACTAAGTAAGCTTGCTTTCTTTTGAGACTACAATCTTTTATAGTAGATAAATCTAATATAAAATTTTTATTTTCTGTAATCCTTCTGCGTTAATGGTGAAAGTTGTTGAAGTTCTCGCTAATGACATTTCTTTCACGGAATTTCAGTTGTTGACCTTTTTATCAGAGATTCCTTCTGTACGTTTGATTGTGGTAAGAGCTACTGCTTTTCCTGTTTTTGGTTTGGTCATATAATATGTGATAGCAGCTTGTTATATCTTTTGTTAATTTGCTTACACTGTCTTTGATGGTGTAGGTAGTGGGTGGGATAGATGAACATCTCCCATCTCTTCCATCTACAACGGGAATGAAGCTCTTATCATATACAAGGCTGCTGAGTCAGGTACTTTAAATGATACATAAATATATTACTTGGACTATTGCTGTTCTGAATTTGGTGCATCGACCTGAATTCAGAGGGATAAATTTGGTAGATGTACCTCCCTCCTAGTCTGTGTCTTATGTTGAGTAGCTAAGAGCATCATTAGTAGAGGGAGAGACTAATAAGATGCCATTGAGGTTGTAGATCTTCTCCCTTTTCCTTTTTTATGGCTAGCAAATTGATTTGCTTCGACTCTACTTTGTGTCACCTAG